CATGAGCGGTTACAAACCAAGTGATACACCCGTGGATCCTAATAAGAAGTTGGGAGATGCTCCTAATGAAGTTCTAATTGATAAAGTTAGATATCAATGTCTTGTAGGAAAACTCATTTATTTGTTTCATACAAGACTTGATATCGCCTTTGCAGTTAGCGTCGTGAGTCAATTTATGCACTCACCTTATGAGAAATATCTGAAAGTTGTATACAAGATTCTTAAGGATTTACAAAGTACATCGAGAAAGGGGTTGTTGTTCAAGAAAAGTATAAAAAGAGTATAGAAGTCTTCACAAATGCAAATTGGACAAGTTCAATTTCCAATAGCCGATCAATCTCTAGCTACTGTACGTTCTTATAGGGAAATTTGGTTACTTGGCGAAGTAAGAAGCAAAGTGTGATTGTTAGAAGTAGTATACAAGCTGAGTATAGAGTTATGACAAATGGAGTTTGTGAGGCATTATGAATTAAAATGAGTACTTGAAGAATTAAGATTAGATGCAGAAACACCTATGAGACTATTTTGTGATAACAAATAAGCTATAAACATTGCGTACAACCTAATTCAACATGATCGTACAAATCACATTGACATTGATAGGCATTTCATTAAACAAAAGTTGGAGAATAGAGTTACTCGTATGCTGTTTGTGACTTCTGTACAACAAACAACTAATGTTTTTACCAAGGGACATTTCAGACCAAAGTTTGAATCTTTCATTGACAAGTTGGCAATTATCAATATTTATGCACCAACTTGAGGGGGAGTGTGAAAATATATGAAAAACATAAGAAATTAACTGCATATCTCTAAAATTATCACTGTCTATCTTTAGAATTTATTGTTGCATATTTGTAGGAATTATTACTACATATCTGTAGGATTTATTACTATAATTTTTAAAAAGTTATTGTTATTGATTGTGTAGTCATTTATTCCTAAAATTAAGAAGATAAATAAAAATGTAAAATTCTATAAATTCAACATTTTTTACCAACAAAATATAACAGAAAATAAAGAAGAAAAAATCTTCTTTTTCCCATCTGCGTTTAGTAGGGCATTTAGAAACCCTATAAATAGATAGATGTGTACATTATCCACATATTTCTCATGATTGAACGCCTGCAGACTCTATGATTGTGGTTTGTATTTTTATCCCAATTATTGTGGATCACAATCATATAAGGGTAAATTACATAACGACCTTTTTGTTTAGCTTGTATCATGGTTTCCCCCTAGAGATTAAGAATTTATACTTTCTCCTCTAATGCGCATATCACCTAATCCTAACAAATTTAGCAGTTGGGTAGAATAGAAGAAGACTGATGGAACGTGCAAATCATATGGAAAGCCGCAAGTTCTTGGAGAACTACTACCTTCAACCTCTGCTTCTGAATAGGACTCTTGGCTTTTCCTAATAACTACTAGGCTAGCCCGACGTATTAGAATTCCTTCTAGCATAAGATTTTCCTTTATCTTAAATTAGGAAGTTGGTCCAGGTATGAGCAATGCTCCTCGTAGATACCTATTCTACTAGTTAACAACCATTTGAAAATTATTCTTAATTTTAGAGAATTCTCTAAGAGATCCTAGGGTTCTCTTTGACAAGCCCAATCATAGGCCACCAAGATTGCAAATCTAACAAGCAAGCTTCACAATTGCCAAAAGACTTCGCCTTGGTAGAATTTGACTTGATCCCAGGCTAGGGAATGTAAGAACCCCTTAATGTTACCAACCAATCAATTGTTAGTTGACTTCCTGCTGTCTCATCCTATTAATTTAAAAACCCAAAATATTCTTTATAATTATTTGACAAAAAATTCATTTTATTCTCCTACTTACACTCCCTAGTTATGGGTCTCTATTACTTCTAAAATCCAAAAGTGTATATAACTATTATAAAAAAGAATTCACAACTAGATATTCTTTACTTGATTTACTACTACATTAATAAGCACAATGCTTGATGAGCAATTCAAAATTTTGTTTCAATTGAATCCTGTAATCATAGAAATCTATTACATAATTTTTTGTTATGAAACATAGATTGGTTTAGTAAAAGAAGGACATCTTATAACTTTATAACTTTATATTATATATACACAAAGATAGTTAAGTCATTTCATAATTTTTATTGAGTTTTGAAGTCTTTAACTAACAAGAAGAGTGCAAAGTGAATATGTCAAAATGTAGGAGGGCATGATAGCCTAAGCTAGGATGGTTAGTGTAATTTACCCTTCATATAACTGTGGATCGGATTTTTCTTTTTTCTTTTTTTTTAATCTTCTATTTCCCTGGTCTGAACCAAAAAGATATCTGTACCATATTTATTTCAAAATAAAATGACACTGTCATTTTTTATAGAACATATTGATACTAGAGATATGCACAACCAAATAAATTACCAGACACCCAATCATAAAGATCAGAAAGCTCCATTGTGGTCAAAGCTTCTTTTTCCGTCCAGAATTGGACAATCACCAATGGAATTTAGTTTTAGAAGGTCCAAATTAACAGAGATCCAGAAAACAAAAAAAAAACTTTAAACAAACCTTCTGAATTCTCCAAATGGGGCATCCCAGAGGACGATACTTCGTTGGGATTACACCCTACCGTCTGCCCAGTCTCTGTAACAATATGCATTACACTCTTGCCATCTTCAAGTAAATCCTTGACCTCCATGATTTCATCATCTGTTGCAGGCACTAATCTCCCATCTCCTTCAACCTAGATATCAGACAAGATAGTATAGATCTAGATCGAACTCAGTACTTCATAATCACAAATTAGTATTATGTTATTTTACGACTCCAGATCTATATTCATAGAATAGAGTGCTGTTTTGTGCTACTTGCAGGATGCAAGATTTGTTGTCGGGTTTATATCGACTAAGATTGTCCAACTTCAATAGTTAGCTTTTGAAGTTTGCTTTTCCTAAGACCCAATCTATCGTATTAGAGCCACCAACCATCTCTCCAGGTTCCAATTGTGCGGTGCAGGTAGTGATGCCAGAATGGCAATGTTTGCCCAAGACAGGGCAAACAGACCTAGTGCAAAGCCTGTCAGTGTGCAGAGCATTGTGGATTGTAATGTACTACTTGAAAGATATAGAACTTAAATGCATCAGAAGTATATGGCTTTTTTTGTGGGGGTTAATATGGGCCTGGACTCTCCAACCTCCATAGGTAGTTTCTAAGATTTGGTTCTTCCAAAACCATATTAAATCATTAACAAGTTGGACATCCTTAGATGCTATGCTTGTTTGATCAATGATTGTGCACATTTTACTATGACCAAGGAATAATTTTAAAGCATGGTCTACAGGCATAAAACTTGATAGAGTTAGGCAGCAACACAGTCCTTAATAAGCTCAACAGACATTTCATATATTAAAACCAAAAACGACATTGATGTGAACACAATTTATGCAAGCAACCACAAGAGGATAACGAAGCAAAAAAATTTCCTTATATTAAATTTACAGGGATATGATTCCAAATCAGAATGCTTTTCACAAAACTCATGCTATTTTTTTAAAAATAAAAACATGTATGTATATTACGTTTTTTTTATAGATAAAAGTAAGAAAATGCATCAAAAAGTGGTATCAATACCACTATTGCCCATTTACAAAAGATTTACATATCAATAAAAATATCGATCACAGCTCCCATGTCATCAAAAGATAAGAGATTGTGACCCAAAAGTATGGATCCAAAACAGTGTATCCATCTATCCTTGATACAAAAGTATCTTCAATGCCTTCAAAAGCTCTATTATTTTTTTCTTTCCAAATAACCTCAAAAGATAGTTAAAAGGAATTAGCTGAGTAACATAATTGTTAGAAACTAAACCATCCCAGGCCATAATCTCATTATAAACTGAGCCGGACATAACCCAATTAATGCCAATCAGATAGACCATGTGCCACAAATTAGCAGTAAAAGGGCACCAAAGAAGGATATGATTGCAACTCTCAGCATCATTTTTGCAAAGGAAACATCTGTTGACCAAAATTTTTCCTCTTTTAATCAAATTATCCAATGTCAGGATCTTCTCCTTAACAGCTTCCCAAGCAAAGAAAGCAATCCTGGGGGGAGCATTAGCTTTCCAAATGGCTTTGTAGGGAAAATATGCAGCAGGTATAGAGTTTGACCAGCCAATGCTAAATGACAACTTATTGAAGAAAGACCGAATAAAGAATATGCCATGTTTCTGCAGTTTCCAAATTAGAGAGTCCGGTCTGTTAACAATTTGAATCCTAGCCATCAGCTGCAAGAACTATCCAAATTCATCCATCTCCCAGTCATTTAAGTTGCGGTTAACAGCAATATTACAAAGGCCCGAGGTATCGAAGGCCTCACTAACCAGAAGGTTTTTTCGTTGTGCAATGGAGTAAATAGTTGGGAAGGCAGATTTAAGGCTGTTTTCAGTGCACCAAGTATCATTCCAGAAATTCACCCTATCACCATTACCAACATTCCAGTAATTATTCATCATCACCTCATTGTAGGTGGCAAGGATCCCCTTCCAAGCACTCGTGCCATGAGTTCTAGTAGGGAAGATAAATCTTCCATTACCATCAAATTTCATCCATTTTATATCCACAATAATCCTCCAAAGGCTGTTGATTTCGTTAAAGTATCTCCAAATCCATTTGTCGTGGAAGGCTTTATTGATAGTTGTGATAGACCTTATCCCGAGGCAACACCTACACATTGGCAGCTTAACCTCATCCCAATTAATCAGATGGTAGGTTCTTTTATTCTCCGTGTCACCCCCAAAGAAATCTGTTCTTTTAGCAATCTTAATTGGAACCTTGAGAACCGAAAGGTAGTATAAAGGGAGGTTGGAGAGCGTACTCTTGATAAGGGTTAATCTGCCTCCTTTAGAGAGGAATCCTCTCTTTCAATTTGCCAATCTTCTGTCAAATAACTCAATAACTGGGTCCCACCCTTTGTGGTCTTTGTATTTCAGGCCAAGAGGAAAGCCAAGATATTTGATTAGAAGTTTTTTCT